TCCACACAGTCAAATGCTTTGCCATAGTCAATAAAGCAGAAATAGATGTTTTTCTGGAACTCTCTTGCTTTTTTGATGATCCAGCAAATGTTGGCAATTTGATCTCTGGTTCCTCTGCCTTTTCTAAATCCAGCTTGAACATCTGGAAGTTCATGGTTCACGTATTGCTGGAGCCTGGCTTGGAGAATTTTGAGCATGACTTCACTAGCGTGTGAGATGAGTGCAATTGTGCGGTAGTTTGAGCATTCTTTGGCATTGCCTGTCAGGGGTTGGGGGGATCCTATTCTAGTACTTGATCTGGGCGCTATTTCCACAGACACTGGTGAAAAGTCAGCAAGCTGTACACTTAGACAATGTGCATTTTCCTTTCTTTATTTATCTATTTTTGGGTGTGCTGGGCCTTCGTTGTTGCACGTGAGTGCTCTCTAGTTGTGACAAGCGAGGGCTGCTCTCTGCTGTGGTCGCCGCTTCTCATCGCAGCAGCTTCTCTCGTGGCTCGAGGGCTCCAGAGCTCGGGCTCAGCAGTTGGGGTGCAGGGGCTTAGGTGATCTTCCCGCACCAGGGGATCGAACCCGTGTCCCCTGCACTGGCAGGCGGATTCTTAACCACTGGACCACCAGGGAAGTCCATAAAATGTGCATTTTTCTGCATGCATTGTATTTTTCAATAAAAAGCTTTTCTTTTTAAGGAGGGACCTAAGTTATACAATCTCTAGCCACATGGACACACTTGTTATTGTTCAGTCATAAACTAATTGTCCAGCTGTCGGGGACTGGCTAAATAAACTGCAGTGCATTTTTACGGTGGGATGTTCTGCAGCTATCTAAGTAACTAATCAAAATAATCAAAAAACCATTTAGGCTTAGGAAGGGGTGCCTATGACACCCGGTGAAAAATGCTCATTATAAAACTTCATAATTTGATCCTCATTATGTAAAGAAAACAGATATATCTGTATTTGTATACTCAAATAAGCCAAATAAATTTGAACAAATATTTCAGTTTTCCTTTCACAAAAGTGGGGTCAAGAACATTTTTTATTCTTTCTTTTGGCTTCTCCACATTTTTTGAGTGCCCTGCAATTACAGTATTTTTTTTTTCAATCAAGAAAATGAATTTGGGTGACTTTCCTGGTGGTCCAGTGGCTAGGACTCTGCGCTCCCAAGGCAGGGGGCCTAGGTTCGACCCCTGGTCAGGGAACTAGATCCCACATGCCTCAACTAAGACACAGTGCTGCCAAATAAACAAATACTTTTTAAAAAAAGAAAATGAATTTCTAATGAAGTTGAGCCACTGTTGATAGCAGCGGAGGGTAGATAGCTGTGTGTCCATCATCCTCAGGGACACTCACTGAAGCCCCTATATCAGCTGGGTGAAAACTGGGGTTCGCCGGGGCAGGAGAAGAGCTTGCCTCTGGGCACTCTGGTCCACAGCTGGCTTTATCCCCTCACGTCTGGCCCTTCCCACCTCTCCGGCACAGCTCCTGTGCAGAGAAGGCTCACCTAGCCCACCTGAGCCTGCTCCCTCTAGAAGGTCCTGCTTTCCAGGCCGGTCCTTGGCTGGCTCCTGGGAAGCTGGCCCTGGCACTGCTCCCCCATCCCTGACCGATAAGGGCGGGTCCCTGTGCCCGCTTCACAAACCACGTGGTTTGAGCGGGACACCTGCTTTCCTTCTGAGGGCCTGGGACTTGGGTTGGCGGCTCAGATATCTCTGTGGCCAGCCCCCAGTAAAGACCCTGAGGACCGAGCCTGTGCTGGGCGTCCCTGGGCAGACACATCATTCCCGCACTGTCATTGCTGGGGAAGGAGCACGCTCTGTGCCCCCTTGTAGGAGGAAGGGGGTGTCAGACCCCAAACCTGTGCACAGATCTCCCCAGACCCTGTCTCTCTCGCTGAAGCTGTTGTGTCCTTTCGCTGTCATAGACCTTAGTGACGAGAACGTGGCTCAGCCATGTGCCGAGTCCCACGAGCCCGTCTAGTGAATCACGGCATCTGTGAGTGGTCCTGGGGACCCCCGACGTGCCTCTGCGCAGAGAAGTGTCTCAGCCGCTCCTCCTACTGACCTGGGGTGACGCCAACGGGAGACAGATTAGGGGCTCTCAGCTCCCAGGGGAGGGGGCACCTCTGAGATGGCTTCTCCTTCTGAGCCGCCCCCACAGCACCGCCCGGGGCCACTCGGGGCCTGTAGACTTCCACTCAGGCGTCTGCGGCCAGCCACCCAGCCAGAGCCCAGCTCTTCCGACTCAGATCTCAGCTTCTGAATGCAGCTGAAACTGGGGAAGATGGAAACGTGGGCTGCTCTACCCCGGGAGGGCTTGAGGGTGGGACACCGGAGGACCACGCTGTCGGGAGGCTGGCAGGGCGCTGGGCCGCCTGTTGACAGTAGCCTGAGGCCCGGACCAGTCTCCGCAGGCTCCCAGCCCCCTTCCTGGGACATCAGCCCTGCAGTACCGGCCCTGACACGAGGGGGCCCCGGCCGGCGGCCTCCCGGGCCTCTCGGGGGCCTGCCTCGCTCCTCCACCACGTGCCCGCTCGCCACACCTGCCCTGCCCGGGCCCCGAGCACGGTGGGCACGGGGACTCTGCCTTCATCCAGACGCTGAGGGCGACGGCCCCTGGCGTGGACTTGGGCGGCCGAGGCTGGAGAAGAGGCAGGAGCTCCAGGCACAGGAGGCGGGCGTGGGCTGGGGAGAGGCGGGCAGGGTGTGTGGAGTGTACATGGAGGGGGGGTTTGGGAGATGTAGGGGCGCAGGGGGTGGGGCCTTTAGGGGCTGGGGGGGCGGGGGGCAGGTCTGTGTGTGTTCATCCCAAACGGGGCGAGGGAGGAGACGGAGAGCCTAGAAATGGGCTGAAGAGGACAGAGCCGTCAGCCTCGCTTTTTCCCGGGGTCTTTTCCAGCACTTGAGGTCACAGGGCGGGGGGGACACCCTCACACACACTGCCACCTGCTCCAGGCCCGAGAGAACCGAGGCGGCGGAGAGAAATCAGGCAGGGGCTCGGAAAGGCCAAAAAACTGGGCATCGGGAAGGGGGAGACAGAGGACCTGTGAGCTCTCAGCCAGGGGGCTGGAGGGGGCGAGGGAAAGAAAGGGGCAGAGTTCACGACAAAGGGCCCCCTGCGAACCCCCGAACCAAGGCGAGGCAACTCACCTGTCCGCTAGAGAAGACGAATACGAGGGCCGCCCCGGCCGCCGTCAACCCCCAGGTGAAGAAGGTCCCCAGCAGGGCCTGGGACACCGGGCTGTGGCCGTGGAGCATGCTGGATACAGCTGTGTGCAGAAGAGCAGAGGCTCAGAGCCTGTGGTCCCTCCCCGGGACACGCACGCGCTAAGGGGCCCGCACACCCAGGGGGCCCAGCTAAGGCTGGGCGGCTTCACCCCAGCTGACCCCAGGTATCGGAAACCATCCGGGTCCAAAAGGATAGACCTGGGGACGCCCAGAGAGACACCGGGGAGTACAGGCCACAAAAGAAGGGAGGACACTGGGAAACAATTCCAAAGACCTGCAAAGAATGCGAGTTACTTAGCCTGGAGGGAGAGAGCCTGGGAGAGTCTGACCGCAGCCTTCCGGCATGTTCTACCCATTTTGCCTGAGCCTGCCTATCATCCATCATCGGTCTAGTCTCCTCCGAGCACAGGTTGACCAGCTCGGATGCCCTCCTAAAGCTCTTCCACCCAAAGAAAGTGTCGGTCGCTCAGTCGTGTCCAACTGTTTGCAACTCCATGGACTGCAGCCCGCCAGGCTCCTCTGTCCCGAGGATTTCCCAGGCAAGAACAATGGAGAGGGTAGCCATTCCCTTCTCCAGGGGATCTTTCTGACCCAGGGATCGAACCCGCGTCTCCTGCGCTGCAGGCAGATTCTTTACTGTCTGGGCCACCTGGGAAGCCCAATCAAACTTTCGACAGCTCTCGAGAGCAGTTCTCACGGCAGCTCCCGTGGCCGCCAAGGATTCCCTCCATCAGCTGACCATCAACTCACCCAACAACTCTTCAACCACGGCACCCTGCAAGGGCACTGTGTTCCAGCTCAGCCTTGTCATTCGCAGTACCTTTCACAAGCCCCAGATGGTCCTGCTCCAAGTCTCTCTTTATCCGGTTTCCTCCCAGCCTCCAGCCATCAGGCCCAGAGCATCCTCTGTTAACGCCAACTTCGATGCCATGATTCCCTGATACCCCTCCACTCCGCTCCCAGGGCACATCTTCAGTGCTTTCTTTGTGTGGGCTTGCCTCCTTCATCTTTCACATCATTCATTGTTTAAAAATAGGGATGATGCTTTTTCACATTTGATACCCCCATAAAATAGGGTTTTCTGGCACCACAAAACATATGTGTTGAATTGAAAAGGGCCGGCTTACCTTGAATAAGCAAAGACACAAAAACAAAACCCAAGCGGCACTTCCCCCAGTCCACTGAGCATGTGTGTGCCTGCTCAGTCGCTTCAGTCGTGTCCGACTCTTTGTGACCCCGTGGACTGTAACCCGCCAGGCTCCTCTGTCCGTGGGGTTCTCCAGGCAAGAATACTGGAGCGGGTTGCCATGCCTTCCTCCAGGGGATCTTCCGCCCCCCACTCCCTGCTCAGGGATCGAACCAATGTCTCCTGCATTTCCTGCATTGCAGGCAGATTCTCTACCCACTGAGCCACCTGGGAAGCCCCCCTCCCACTGAGCACTTTTGCTCCCAAAGCTGAAGTTACTCCACTGTCCACCATGGAAGGAAAGAGAAGTACCATTCCCTCTTGATTCTGCTCGGTGGACCGCCTCTAGACTTGCACGCGTTCTGAATTCTAGCTCTGAAATGATCGGGAGTCACCTCACCTGTGGAAAGTTACAAGGCAGAGAAACCCGCTTGCTGAAAAGCTCTGTGTGTGGTTGATACAATAAACAGCGGGGCTCAAGGCCTCATCTCAAAGGGCTCATTCAGCTCCCCCAATCCTCCAGCACTCTCAGTGGGCTCAGCCCTGCCAGGCCCTAGTGGTCTGTGGGGAGCCAGCAACCCTGAGTTTGCAGAGCAAAAGCTGTCGATTCTGCCTCTAACCCTGGAAGGAAACCCGGGCAGAGGGTAGATGGGCCCTCTTCTGCCAAGAAAGTCAGCAAACCAGCAGGATTCAGATCTATGACGCTGTAAGTCAGGATGAACACAGGTGAGCCCAGGTGCGCCCAGACTCAGCCAAGGTACCAGGAAACCTCAGCACGAAACAGATCTCTAGACTCAGCCTGGGTCCCCATAGTCTAAGTGGCGTTCAGGAGCAGGACTGCACCAAATAAAGAAAAAAACACCATTAAGAAAAAAACCCACCTCTTTACATATGGCGTCTTGTTAAGGCACCCAAAAGAGAATGGTTTGTGCTTCTAAACTAAGACATTCGGATCATTACACCGATCTTTGGGGATACAAATTTCAAACAGGATTTACAAAGGCACACAGCCAGCATCTCCTCAGTACTTATCATCCAAGACAGGTCATAACAACAACAACAAAAAAAAACAACCTTGTTTCTCTGCGTTGAATGTGCCTTTTAGCAACTACAGAAAAGAGGAAACCATTTACATTCACTACACCGCCAAAGTCAACGTGGGTTCTGTGGGCTGGCAAACAAGGGAGGCTGTGGGTGTTCCTGGGGGCTGGTGGGAGGGGGAAACAGACTTCCAAGACTCTGTTTACACCCGAGCACCCTGGGATGTAAGAAAAAGAGACACGGAGAGAAGGCCAAGGCCAGCGTCCTTGCCATCCCAATAGCAGCGGGTTTACCTTTGGGGATGCCAGCCCAGTGCTCCTCGGAGAAGTTTCTTCCTTGCTGTTTTAAATCCTCATGACTCAGGGACTTCCCTGCTGGTCCAGTGGCCAAGACTCTGCACTCCCAGTGCAGGCAACCCAGCTTCAATCCCTGGTCAGGGAATTGGATCCCACACAACGCAACTAAGAGTTCTCACGCGACAACTAAACGTCCCGCACGCCGCTTCAACAAAGATTGTGGATCCCACGTGCTGCCATTAAGACCCTGGTGCAGCCAAAATAAGTAAATATTAAAAACAAAAACAAAAAACCCTCACTCCTCTAAGGGTGGTCCCAGAACCAGCAGCGCTGGACCCCCTTAGGAGCTAAGTTAGAAGTGCAGAATCTCAGGTACCACCCCAGACTTGCTGAATCAGAGTTAATATTTCATAGGAGCTTCCCAGGTGGCTCTGTGGTAGAGAATCTGCCGTCAATGCAGGAAGACCCCCTGGAGGAGGAAATGGCAACCCACTCAGGTGTTCTTGCCTGGGAAATCCCATGGTCAGAGGAGCCTGGCGGGCTACAGTCCGTGGAGTCGCAACGAGCCGGACACGGCTGAGCCAGGGAGCATGCACGCACACAGCATCACACAGACTTCCACGGGGGATGCACATCAGAGTGGAAAGCACGGATCCAAAACTGGAAGAACATCTACAAGACCGAGAGCTTAGAAAGTGAGCTCTCATGCCCTGCAAGGGATCAGCAGGGATACCGCCACACAAACCCAAGAGAGCAGAAAGTTTTCTCCAGTAGGCAGGACAGGAGTGCCTTGGGAACAGGGAAGGTCAGCCAGGGTGGCTCAAAAGCCACTTCTGCAGTGGGGCTCAGAATTCCCGGGAGCTGATATTAAATCAGACACCCGGGCCCCTCTGCAAGAGGGAAGAAGATTCTCTGCCGGCTCCAGCTTGAAAAATGCCAGCACCTCCCCACATACAACAGCACAGGGCTCCTGGCAGATAGAAGATTTCTGTCTTTTCTCTCCTTTTTAAACCTGTTACCCCACTTCCAAGAGTCAGCTTCAAGAGGCTGACGGAAAAGCTGCACAGGTGTAAGGAGCTTCCCGAGACCTGCATGCCTGCCCTGACTCCAAGACTGGAACCGAGCAAAGGGATTCGGGTTTGGGTGTCTGTGACTGTGGAAACTGGTCTCCAATACCTGGATACTCAAAGTGTGGTCCGAGGACCCGCCGACCTGGGGGTTGATGAGAAAGGCACCTCCTCAGGCCTGCCGCACCTTAACCAGATTCCCAGTCAAGTTCAAGGGGGTCCTGCTGATCCTCAGAGCCTGGGGGAGGGGACTTGGGGCAGCTGCTGTAACCAGGTCTGCTTCTGGGGGTACCCCCTCCACACACCCACTGGGAAGCGCTGAATGAAAAGGGTCTTGGGGAACCACTGCCAACAGAAGGTCGACACCCGCCAGCTCGCCCTGGAGAGAGGCTGGGGGGTGCTCCCGGCACTCCTCCCCCTCCGAGGCCACCTGCCGAGGCCACCCTGCTTCTCCTCCGACCCCCTCCTCTCCCAGGGACACCTCCTTCCAAACTGCATGTGGCTGCCCTTCCAGGCCCCGCGCTCGGCTCCCGGCGGCCCCAGACCCCGGGCCTCCAGCCCCGCCGAAGGCGAGAAGAGCCGACTCACTTCGGTGCCCTCTCAAGCCCCCTCTCCACTTCCATCAGCCCCGCAGCCGCTGCCGGTTCTCAGGCTCCACTCCCGAGTCACTTCCTGCTTTCCTCCGGGCACACGTGTCCCCGGCCACCAAGCTCCGCCCCCGCCTGCTGAAACTGGCAGATCCGGCAGGAGAATCAATTCTCTGGTTCACAGCCTCTGCAGGCTCGGGAAGACACCGGGGCGGGTAGAACTGAGCGCTGCATAACCCTCGGCAACCTTCCGGGAAGCCACAGAAACCCAAGGGAACAACATGCTGCAATGTGCCTTTATCATCATTTGTGTTGCTGCGTTCTGGCAGCGTCCTGGGTGAGCAACAGAGCAGGCGACCTGCAATCTCCCACCATCAGCGTCCTTCTCAGAGCTTCTAGTTCTGGAAGCCTGTGCAAAGGTTTTTTCTGTTTTGAACTAGTTGCTGCTGGTGCTCTGATTCTAGAGCCCTTCAACAAGAACCAGGGCTTTGCTCTCCTGGCCTTCTAGAAAAGCACCATAGGGTGGGATTGTTAGGTTAGCCAAAAATAAAGAGAGGATGTCCAGTTAAACTTGAATGTTAGGTAAGCAACAAATAAGTTTTGAGAGAAGCCTGGCATGCTGCAATCCATGGGGTCGCAAAGAGTCGGACATGACTTAGTGACTGAACACACAACACATGTCCTGTGTATTCCTTCTCTAAGCAACTCACTACTATTTGGGACATACTTCTGCTAAAAGTGTATTTCACAGCAGTTGCTTAACCGAAATTCAGGTGTAACCGGGTGTCCTGTATTGTATCTGATGACCCTACCAGAGAGTAACCAGAAACACTGTCCATAATCACAGTGGCCACAGACCAGAGGATCGGACAGAAGCAGCCCTGTCTTATCCAGAGAGGTCAGTCATGGACACGGGTGACTACACCATATCCAGGCCCTGGGCCAGGAGGGGAAGATGGCATGGTGACCATAGGCGGTCTCTGTCCTCAGGAGATTCTTAGACACACAGCAGAGCCAGAGCAGCTCTCTCAGCTCAGGCCGCCATAAGCAAAATACCAGACTGGGTGGCTTAAACACTGGACACCCATCATCTTACACCTCTGGAGGCTGCAAGTCCAAGACCAGTTCAAGATCAAGGGCAGGCTCGTGCCTGGTGAGGGCTCTCTTGCTGGTGTGCAGACGGTAGCCTTCCCGCTGTGTGCTCACAGGGCCTTTTCCTGGGGCACACAGGAAGGACGGGAGACAGACGCATCTCTCTCTCTCTTCCTCCACCCCCCCTCCTTCCCTCTCTGCTTCCCTTACAAGGTACTACAGCCTCGGCTCTGGAGTCAGGAGGAAGCCCCATACAGCGCACGGGGTTCCATGGATAAATCCCATATTCCTCTGAGTCTCTGTACCCACCTTCCCGTCCCGGGTCTGGGAATAACCAATCACCCTGTGCTCCCGACAAGCGACTGTAAAGGGAACAAAGTGCCCACCACCCAGCCGGGCCCCCACCCCCGGCAGCCTGCAGGGTCGTCACCCTAGAGCTCCACCCCTTCACTCATTTACATTATATTCTGTTCATTTATATTATATTATATATACTACTGGGCTTCCCTGGTGGCTCAGATGGTAAAGAATCTGCCTGCAATGTGAGAGACCCGGGTTCAATTCCCTGGGTGGGGAAGATCCCCTGGAGGGGGGCATGGCAACCCACTCCAGTATTCTTGCCTGGTGAATCCCATGGACAGAGGAGCCTGGCGGGCTACAGTCCTCGGGGTCACAAAGGGTCGGACATGACTGGGCACCTAACACCCTCGCTTATATACATATATTACATATTATATTCATACACACATACATTTTATGAGCCTTGGCCTGCTCTGCTGGGCCCCAGCGCATGGAGATCAGCCGCGCACATGTGGGGCGGCCTCGCTCAGCCACTCTGGTCTGTCCCTTCTTTCCCTTTCCTGAAGTCTGACCACTGACGTGTCAGGAGGACTAAGATAAGCCCCTGAGCCTGGGGCGCTGGTTCTTTCAAAGTGTGGATGGTAAACTGGATTGAACTGGCGCTGAAATGCGGAAGGGATTAAGGAAGTGAAAGTAACAGGCAGTTCAAAGACGCGCTATTAAAATATCAGGGGTTTTTTTGCTGTTGTTCTTTTAGGGGATTTTCTAAGTATACCCCCATTCATATATCCAGAATTTATCCATTTTGCCCAAAACAATAGCTCTGACTCATCATCCTGCCCCAACCACGGACTTCATCTCCCCGATGAAGGAAGAGTTAGCGTCAGTCGCTCAGTCCTGCCCGACTCTTTGCGACCCCGTGAACTGTAGCCCGCCAGGCTCCTCTGTCTGTGGGACTTTCCAGACAAGAATATTGGAGTGGGTTACCACTGCCTCCCCCAGGGGATCTTCCTGACCGAGGATCAAACCCACATCTCCTGTGTCTCCTGCACTCCAGGTAAATTCTTTAACCACTGAGTCGTCAGGTCCCAGATCCCCCAAAGAACAGCCCAAGTAGTTTTTCAGAGACGGAGGTCTGGCTCAAAGGGCTCCTTGTGCCCTTGGAGTGAAACTCTAGCTGCCTCCCTCCACGTCGGAAGCCCTACGTGACCTGGGTCTGCTCACCTCTGGCCCCCCCGTACCCCTCCCTCCCTCTGCTTCGGCCGGCTGCTCCACCTTCTCCTGGAACAGTGCGCTTCTTTGCTCCCGCCTCAGGGCCTTTGCACATGCTGTTTCCTCAGGAACACCACCTGGAGCCTCCACCCGGAGCAGCTGTCTTCAGGTCTCCACCTGGCTGGATCCCTCCTGTCATTCGGGTCTCAGTTCAAGTGTCACCCCCGCAAAGAGGCCTTCTGTCAATGCCCTCTGTGATACAGCCCTTCCAAGCCCTTCTGCATCATCTCACAGCACTTCTCACTCTCTGGCATTCTTATTTATTCAGTCCCCTGAAAGGTGAGCTTCGTGACAGCAGGACCTTGTCGGCCGTCTGCATGGCTGTGTCTCCAGTGCAAAGCATGCGGTACATGTTCAGTATTTACTGAATGTTGGATAAGTTGTCCAGATACAAAAGTGTTATTCACTAGCTACATTTCACATTAAAGACTTTCCTGAGAGTTACTGATACCAAGCAGGGCCTTGTGGAGCGCTCCTGTGCATAAGGCCTTTCTGTGTCTCCCACGTCTTACAGAAATCAGCCTTCATTCAGCCTCCGTGACCTTCCCTGGGTTCCAGTGGGCAGATTCAAGCAGCTGTCAATCAGGGAAGGGAGGGGATGTGAGACCAGGGAGAACCGTTTCCCTACCAACGGATACATACCCACAATATCTTTGAGCTGTTCTGCAGATACCGAAACCCCTCCAGGTGGGAGAAGTTAACGATTACCAGTGGTATGCTGCCCACCAGCATGCAGACCCCAGACCAGCTGGGACCTGAAGGCTGATGATGCTAACGACGCGGACTCCCACTGACCTCACCACCAACCCGTCAGAAGAATGTCCACCCGCTGACCATGTCCTCTTTGAACCATTACTATGAAACTTCTGTCTTCTCCACATGGGGACACACAGGCTTGGGGGTCTTGCCCTGTCGTGGCCCCCTTTGCCTGGCAAAGCAATGAAGCTATTCTTTGCTATTTCACCCAAGAACGCTATCTCTGAGATTCGATTCAGCTCCAGTGTACAGAGAGGCTGAGATTCTGGCATCATTATGAGAAGACAGCATTGGTGTACCAGGTGACACGGGCCCGGCTGTTCTCATCATAAGTTGACAGTATCCTCCAGAGGCTCTCAGCCAAGGGCAGTTTTGCCCCCTGGGGGGACGTGAGCAGGGAGGGAACCAGCGGGCAGAGACCAGAGATGCTCCTACCCATCCATCAGCACCCAGGACAACTCCCACAACAGAGACTTATCTGACCCAGAACAGCAACACTCTCAAGGTTGAGACGCCCTAGTGCAATCCCATGAAATAAATCTTCTTAGTGCGGAGTGATGACAAAACTCACTCTTTAAAATTTAACGAGCCCTTTAAGAAGCACCGAGCTTCAGTTAAGGCACTAGTTAGCATTTGATTCACCCAAAAATGCAGGAAAGACAAGAACCAACCGACCGGCCAAACTTTGCATTCCAAGATACCGCAAAGATACACCTACAGGGACTTCCCTGGTGGTCCACTGGTTAAGACTCTGCACTTCCAACGCAGGTTAGGAGGGCAGATTTGATCCCTGGTCAGGGAATTAAGATCCCTCATGTTCCATGGCATGGCGAAGAAAAAAAATTTTTTTTTAATTTAATTGATAAAAAAGAATAAAAAAATTACAACTACCATCAAACCTCCTAGGTGCTCAATTCCCTCAACTCTTCTGGGTTCTGATTTTTTAAGGTTCTGATGTTAGGACACTGTGACATCACAGGGCTTCCTAAATAGAATGCCTGGGATGGTTTTGGCAATGAGTCCCTGGCAGGCGGAATAGGCCTGGTTGTTCCTGACACCTGCCCTCCGGTATGACTGATAAGCCGACAAAGAGGAGATCCCGACCCGCCTTTTATGTAAGAACCATCCAAAGGAGCCGACAGCGACCCGATGCCACTTTCCTGAAGCTGGCCCAGGGGAGAGCTGCCCTCAGGGCTTGGTGGGGGAGCCGAGTAAGAGAGCAGGACGCCTCTCTCAGCTTTGTGCAGACGATCGATTCTGAACCTGCACCAGCTGGGCGGGAGGGAGGGTACAAAAACACGCGTTCTCTAAATGCCCATGGACAGACGGTGGACAGAGGAGATGTGGTACACACTCACGATGGACTACTACTTAGCTCTAAAAAAGAGTGAAGCAATGCCATCTGCAGGAACACGGATGGACTTAGATTATCGTACTAGGTGAACTAAGTCAGACAGAGGAAGGCAGACACCTGATGTCGCCTGTATGTGGAAGGGCTTCCCTGGCGGCTCAGTGGTAAAGGTGCTGATGCAGGAGACGCGGTCTCCATCCCTGGGTCGGGAAGATCCCCTGGAGAAGGAAATGGCAACGCCCTCCAGTAGTCTTGCCTGGAGAGTCCCAGGGACAGAGGGGCCTGGTGGGCCACAGTCCAGGGGGTTACAAAAGACTGAGCAACTAAACACCAACAAATATGTGGAATCTTAAAAATGGTGCAGGTGAACTCATTTACAGAACAGAAAGAGACTCACAGACACAGGAAACGAAGTTATGGTTACCAAAGAGGAAAGGGGAGGGGAGGAACAAGGAGTTTGGGTTTTACATATACACACTACTATATGTAAAATATATAACCTACAAGGGCCTACTGTACCACATAGGGGACTATACTCAATATCTTGTAATAACCTATAATGGAAAAAATATGAAAAAGAATAGATTTTTATATATGTATAACAATCACTTTGCTCTACATCTAAAACTAACAACCTTGTAAATCAACTATACTTCAATTTAAAAATAAATAAATTTTAAAACGACAATAACATTTCAAAAGAGGAAGAAAAAAGAAAAGAATAGGTTCTACGGATTTTATATAAACCTATTATTGGGAGAGAAGTTTCTGGCATCGGGAGAGAGATTTAAAACGCAAACCCGAGCCTGTTCAATTGCCAGCTTAATAAGATACAGAATTACTACATAAAAAGCACCACTGATTAAATATGAAATCAACCCTGTCTCTGAGATGATAACTGGCATAAATCCGTTTTCCATCGTTTCCACATTGGCTTTGAACAACTCTCCTGGCATCTCACAAGTAACTCTATGGAACTGAGTTTTGGTTTCTTAAGGGTGAATCACTGAGCAAGTAACTTCTGCTTTGAGGCTGCTCCTTCAGGGCTGTATGGATCACAGAACAGCCTGCTGGTTCATTTGGTCACTCTGCAAAGTCTGCTGCATGCCTGCTCCGTGACAGGCAGCGCTGAGGATACACACCAGCGAAGGAGACGGAGAACAGCTGTGCCCTCACGATGCTGCCAGGCCGACGTCACAGGCACTGCCTTGAATGTGTGTCATAAATGAAGGCTCACGGGACTTCCCCGGTGGTCCAGTGGCTAAGACTCCGTGCTCACAATGCAGAGGGGACCCAGGTTCGATCCCCAGAAAGGGAACTTTCCAGATTAGATCCCACATGCCACAACTAAGAGTCTGCATACCACAACTAAAGATTCTGTGCACCACAACCAAGACCTGGTACAACCAAATAAACATTCGCATAATTTAACAAAAAAGATTGCTGCTTTCTTTAAAAAAAAAAAAAAAAGAAGGAAGGAAACCAGTGTACCAGCATCTGGGATTTCCTTCTTTTCCAGGGGTCTAGGAAATGGTTACAAATTGAAAAAAACATATTAGGTTTTCGTTCTCCCTGCAAAAAAGAACCTGCAGAAATTTCAATTAATAAGTGCTTAACAAAATGTCTATAAAACCTTGTTAATTGTTGACTTTGGTATTCATAAAAATTTAATTACATTTGAAAAACAATCTGAGGCTTAGCTTTACTCCCTTCAAGAGAATCCTTAAGTAGGCACAACAATGGCCAAGGAATCACAGTCAGAAATTAAATACGCTTCCAGCCAAATCACTTCAAAAGCAAAATTATTTTTACAAACTTTTTGATTATTTTATGGTGGGTCTGGGGTGGGGGTACTTAATGTGGAATGCGGGAGCATTTTAATACGCCTGGTACCAATCGTTCAGGATCCTAAGAGGCCCCAGGGGCTGGGAAGGGAGCCAGGATTGCAAGAAGTTTTATTCCTCTCTCCAGTGGGAACAGAAACGAAACTCATTTCACGTGGATCTTCTGTAGATTGCGGAGGGCTGGTGATAGGGACAAGGGTAGGGCTGGGTGAACCTATCCAGGAAGGATGGTGTTTTCCTACTGTGAGCATAACCCCCGGGGAATGGGACAAGCAAGAAGGAAGGAAGGAAGGAAGAGGGGAGCAAAGAGGGGAGCAGGAAGGGGGGAGGGAGGGAGGGAAGGAGCGAGGAAGGGAACAAGGAGGGGAAGAAAGGGAGCGGGGAGGAAGGGACAAAACCGCCTCTCTGTGCCAAAGGCTACCACCTCAGCCCTTTAAGAGGGAGGCTTCCTAATTCAGTTTCCATTCTTGCGCTTCTGCTGGGTGAACTGGTTTTTTGTTTTGTTGTTGCTGTTTAGTCACTAAGTCGTGTCTGACTTCTGCAATGATAGCCCGCCAGGCTCCTCTGTCCATGGGATTCTCCCGGCAAGAATACTGGAGTGGGTTGCCATTTCCTTCTCCAGGGCATCTTCCCGATCGAGGGATCAAACCCAGGTCTCCTGCTTTGCAGGCCGATTCTTTACCACTGAGCCACCAGGGAAGCCGTCAGGTCACACGCGAGGCCACCCCATAACATTCAGTGCCAGCAAGAACCTCTGAGAGCCTCTGGCCCCCGCCTCTCACTTCACAGAGGGCCGCAAAACCCAAGACAGGGAGCCAGAACCCACCTCTCCCATCGGCCCCCTTTCCCCCGAGTTCGACACCGTTGTGAGTCCCAAATCCTCCCGGGCTGCTGGGTTAGAGTCACAGCTTTCTGGCTCAACCATGAAAATGATTATTGTCAGTGAGGCTATGGGGAGACAGGTCAGAATACCGGAGCGAACAAAAATGTTTCAAGCACTTTCCAGGCGGAACCAATAACAAACAACCCACACTCCCAATCCGCATCTAATACATCCTGCAAGCAAGAGGGATGGATGGTACAGTCATTTTCACAGTGAGACAGACTTCTACTACTATGGATATTTAAAAATACTATGTCACTGAGAATTCACAGATTCACCCTGGCCTTTTACCCGAAGTTATTGTCATTGGTGAGGTTTGCAGTCTTGCCACCTATTCTGGAAACATCAGCCAGGACCTGCAACAGATAATACAGCCAGAAAAAAACCTTATACAGAAAAGGTACTAAAAAAAAAAAAAAAATCACCTGTCTAATTAAATGGAATGATGAAGCCATGCAAATTGCCCTGGACCCTCTGCTCCCAATAATGGTGTGGATCCATCAGTGTGACTTCTCAGGAACTCTTAATAACATGATTTAAAATATGAGGGAGAAAAGATATTGATCATTCTAATGCTCAAAAAAAAAGAAAGGACAGGCCAATAAATTACAGAACATGAATGCAGTGGACTTTTAAGCAGTTAGTAAAAAGAATAAATTCAGACTTCCCTGGTTGTCCAGTGGTTAAGACTCCCCACTTCCAATGCAGGGGGTGAGGGTTCAATCACTGGTTGGCAAACTAAAATCTTATAGTGCCTGGTAGCAAGGCCAAGAAATTTTCCTTAAAAGATGATAA